CAACAGTCTCAAGAGTCAAATCAAGTTTTTATCTCACCCCGGATGACACATGGAAGCCCACAGGAAAGATTTCATTTGGTGGGACAATGATTTGTATATAGATTAGTCCTGTCGTAAAAAATATCTGGGAACAATGCACAGAAGAGTGTGGAACCGAATCTGACAGAATAAGGTGTCAACCAGCCATCAGAGCAGTTTGACCATTAACACAGTTACAGATCCCTGAAAATATCTTCAATCAAATTTATTGCAACCATTTTCCCATTTTAAGCTCTGGCAATAAAATCTTTTTACTTCCAAATAGATTAATTAACATATCTCGACCATGGGGTAAAAACTAATAGCAAGAATTACTTGCGATCAAAGTGCAGATTTGGACACTTTACATTTTTGTATATTTACACAGAGACACAAAACCATTACCAGACTGAAAACAGTGATTCAACTCCACTGCAGACCAGATGGTGGCGCTACTGTAATTTTGTTGTGAGCCCAACAGATTTATTGGTTGGCCAATAAAAATCAGCAGATATAATCCTTTCACAGACATCATCTGTGTTTAAAGCTGTAAATTAGACTTTATGATGCTTTTAAAGGTTTGTGGTGTTGTTTAATCCTATTACGTTATAAAGAGAATGTAGTCTGTTGTTTATCCTATATATTTATTGCTATAAATGAGGTGGACAAAATAATAATTGTCAGTATAACGTAAAACTCTTTACTTCTTAAAAATAATAAATCCTGAGCCCAGATCAGATTATAAATGAATTTCTTTGTGGGATTAGTTCATTTACATTGATGCATAATGGTTTCCACTTACTTCTTAAAACTACAAGTTGGAGAAAAAGTAGTGGATCAATTATCACTGTTCATTAAAGACAATGGATAATAGATCATCATTTAAATGACTGTTGTGAACTTTCTGAACATCTTTTAAAACCCCTCCAGTCTTTCACCATATTTTCCCCAGTCAACAGTTGACAGCAGCACTCGAGTGAACGTGGCACTTTTATTTTTTTTGGGGGGGTCGTGGTCGTTCTGTGGAAACAAACATGCCAGCTGGCCTGCTTTGGGCAGAGTGCGCCTCAGTCTTGTCTCCGTCTCCCTAAAACAAGCATCTGGAGGCCCGGGACGTGAATACAAGTGTGAATATATTCATCCCCATGCTGCTTTGTTAAATCTCTGGGCGTAAAGCCGTTGTACCCCCGTGCCCTCCCGAGTGACCCCGGAGGATCAGAGACCAGGTTGTCGAAACATTTGTAACATTTGGCCAAAGCAAATCTCAGGCTGCCTGTTGAATTGAAGCCCAGACCAAAGAGGAGGGAAAAAAATCCCCCTGGAACCCTTAAAATACTCCCTGCGCTGGCTGGACCGGGCCCCCCCCCCCCCCCCCCCCCCCCCCCCCCCCCCCCCCCCCCCCCCCCCCCCCCCCCCCCCCCCCCCCCGCCCCCTCCTCTCGTTCCTTATCCCTCACACACTCACACACCGAGCACGGAGGCTCAACCCCTTACAACCTCCAGCAAATCCCCTTTATCTTTTCCCAGCCAGATGGGGCCGCTGGAATAATAGCTAAAGCCCAATGAGTTCCATTCAATTTGTCATGCCGTCTAAAGGAGCTTGTAAGCTTCCCATTTGCAGTTATGTTATAGTAACCATGGGAGGCTCGGCTGTGTTAGGACTTAATTACCTCCTAATAGCTGTTGTAGAGATAAAGCCCCGGGCCAACATAACCCAACACTGTCCAGCCTCCGAGGAACGGAGGCCTGGAGACTCCCTCTGCACGTAGATCACGTCGGTGACCTCTTCACCCCGCGAGCACCTGAACAGGTCATTGACTGTATATGAAGATAGACAGCATGAGGAAGCATCTCCATCGCCATCTGGTGGCTGGTGGCAGTATAGGTTATTTAACCCCACCTCCTCAATGTTAGCGGATGGGACATGTACCATCTAAATTCACCCAAAGAGGGTTTCTATCGCACACTTTTACTTAAGTTCGGTTCCAATTAGTGATTTGATGCTATAATAAATGGGGGGAAATGTCACTGACTTGTGGTCATTTGTGTGTATCGGGGGACAACGCGACTTTGTCCCCTGATCGCTCCGACTCTGGCTTCTAAGGCAAAAGAGGGCAGCGTTCATATCTGTGATATTTTGCCTTCATTTCTTGTAAAGGGACACGTCGCCCATCTTTGTTTTTAGTCAATGGAACAGATCTAAAGCAGATAGTTTTTCAGACTTTTGCAGTCAGAGATTTTGGAGCAACTCATGTTAGGTTGATCTAGAACTACTAGAACTTATTTCCTTAAAATGCATTTTTAGATGAATTTCTGTAGACACCGTCCAACCGTCCTTTACCTGCACCCTCTCCAAGAAACCCCCCAACAGCGTCTCCCCCCAAATGATAAGATCATTCTGCCTTTGTGCATTCCGCAAAATTGACATCATAGAAAACATTCAGATCTGTAACTGTGATGAGCTGAATGAGAGAAAATTCCAAACTCAGGAAACTATTTTGCAGATTTTCCCTCCAGGTCCTAAACCGGTTCTTGACTCTTCCATTAAATTTACAGTTAATAGCAAATAAAGTAGAGCTACATTCTTACTGGGAGTTATACACACACACACACACACACAGTTCAACAGCAGTGGTGGCGGCGGCGGCCAGCATCTCACGTTTCTCACTACAGATTTCAACAAAAGCGAGAATTTTGCTTCATTTCGTTCCAAGATTTTCCAGAGAAAGGGACGAAGAGGGAGAGCCAGGACGTTATTCATGTCTTTCAGTTCATTTGGCCGAGGCCGGTCAGCTTCCCCAGACACAGAGAAAACTCCTCTCTCGTGTTTTTCCTCCCTCCTCTCTTTTCTGCTGTTTTTGTTCCCTTTCTTTTTTTTTATTTTGGAGGCAGATTAGCAGGATTAAGTATGGCTCACATATGCTCCTCCTCACTATTGGTATTCACCACGGCACCAGGCCGACCGCCACCCAGCCTGATGGACAGAGAGAGAGGGAGAGAGAGGGAGTGGATGGTGGTGGGGAGGAGAGAGTCAAAGTTGGAAGAAAATAGAAAGTAAAAAATAAAGGAAGGAAGAAACGTTTCTGTACTTTTAGGTTTTTTTCCAGTCTTTAATATCTCTCTGTTCCTGTTAACCTGTTAAAATATTATCGCCACAGCAAACAATGTGACTGTGCTTCAAAGTTGAAATAACAGAAATGTTTATTTTTTTAAAAGAAAATCCATAAAGAAATGACTCCTTGTTTATTGTGGAAGAACTTGTCCTATTGAACTTGGATGAACTTGTGCAATGACCGAAGGACAGGACGTCTCCAGGTGTCAGTACGTGGACACTAATAATCAGACCATTGACCTTATTTCAATTATGATGTTTATAATATTAACATTCCTGTTTACATGTTACAGAGCACAGTCTGATTATGACGTCAAGCATTTGTCATATTTTGTTGGAAAATGCTGAAATGTGATCGTGGTAGTTGAGGGCACTCCCGTTTGTTTAGCTTCTCAATGGTGACATATTGAAACACGGAGGAAACTGATCTCATTTGGTTTTAACCACCGAAAATGTGTTTAACACATCACAGATTAATTCCATAGCCCTGAGATATGGACCTGTGTGATATTTGTAAAGCTGATGATAACCTCACACAGAATGTTATAGGTTTAAACAGTTATAAATAGGCCTGTATAAATTATAATTTGTTTTGAGTTGAAACCAGATATCTGTTACTGTTAATGACTATAAATGTTGCAGATGCATGTATTTTGAAATAATAAGGATTAGAGATAAAGTGTGTGTGTCTGTGTGTGTGCACAGTGAGTCCCCAGTGTCACTGTGGGAAAGTCTAATGAACCAAAGACACAAAGCTGCTGATTTAAATCTGCACTTTACTCGACTTCATTTCCATAATCTTATTTATAAACACGAAGAAAACAAGCAAATATAACTGTGTGTGTGTGTGTGTGTGTGTGTGTGTGTGTGTGTGTGTGTGTGTGTGTGTGTGTGTGTGTGTGTGTGTGTGTGTGTGTGTGAGACACACCTGACTGAAGATTACATAGACATTTTTTTCTCTTTCTGATTCCCTTTCTCTCACCCCCCTCTCTCTCTCTCCCTCTTTCTCTCTCCCCCCCTCTCTCTCTCTCTCTCCAATAGCAACAGAATT